GGCGCGCGGTGGCAGAGCTGCTCGCGCAGAGCGGTCTGGGCTGCAGTTTCCCACGAGGGGAAAGCGCGGTGGCAGAGCTGCTCGCGCGGAGTGGTCTGGACTGCAGTTTCTGTAACTAGCAGTGTTCCCAAAGTCGCAGCCACGAGTGGGCGGACAACACGTACTCCAGCTGCAAGTTCACGAGTTGCGGGCTACCATGATGAGAGCCGCCTGCGAGCACGCTCCCGAGCTCGTGCGGCTCGATCCTCACACGCACCCTTTCCCTTGTGCTGAAGGTTTTTCTATTCCGTCTTCTTTTCTCTAGGCCTCCCAGATGGGGTCCGAGCAGATGGGGTCGGGGGACCGCGTCGCATCGCCGATGCATCGACGATGCGCCTGGATGTGCAGCCGGGCGCTTCCTGCGCGGAGGGCGCCGGCGCGCCGCCGGCGTCGGGCCCCAGCTGCTCGGACCCCATCCGAGAGGCCGCGACCTGCTGCGCGAGGTCAGGATGCCGAGCGAGATCGGGGGCCACCCGTGCTCCGGGTCTCGCGTCGGCGCCTGCCGCGGCCCGGGGCCCGTCGTTGCCCCCGCTGGCGCTGCTCGCGCCTGGGCGGCAGGCAGCCCGCACACGGGGCGCCCCCCCACGTGCGGCAGCGCCCGGCCCGCGTGGCGGGAGCGGCTGCGACTGTGCCTCGACCTGGTGCTCGAGATTTCCAGGGCTTCCAGGGTTTCCAAAAGTTCCTGATGACCAAGATTCATCGGCTGACGCCGCACCGCCGACCCCCTGGGGCGGCAGTGAGAGCGAAAAGCGGAGTTAGCGGAACGATTTCTGGGGAATCTTGCAGCACTTTTGAGGCCTCTCGGGGGCCGTTTTGAGGCCTCTAGGACTCTAGGAGCCTCTTTTGGGCCTCTCGGGGGCCTCGTGGGAGCCTCTTGGGGGCCTATTGGCGCCTCCTCAGGTTTTTTCGGGCCCGAGAGCTCGAAATGTTCATTCGGGTCCCCCCAATGGGCCTCCTCTTGGGGCCGTCCTGGGGCCCTCCTGGGTCGTTTTGGAAGCTTCTGGGGCCGTCTTGGGGCCCTCTTGGACCGTCTGGGAGCCCTCTTGGGGCTCCTCTTTGGGCTATCTTGGGTCGATCTTAAAGGCTTCTTGGGCCGTTGTGGGCCTTCTGAAAGCCCAAGAGGCGAATGTGCTAGAAACATGCGTTTTTCCCTAGGGAATGAGACGATTTTTGCTTCTGGAGGGCCTCTTGGGACGCCTCTTGGTGGCTTCTTGGGGCGTCTTGGGGGCCTCTGGGACCGTCTGGAGGCGATCTTGGGGGTCTTGGAGCGATCTTTTGGCGACTCGTAGCCCTCTTGGACCGTCCGGGGTGCCTTTTTGGACCCTCTTGGCCCGTTTTGGGGCCCCCTGAGGCTCCAAGGGTGCGGCCGACACCTTTGCCCCCCCCTCCAAACCGGCCGGACCGGGCTCCCGGGGGAGGGGTTTGGGGAGGGGGAAGCATCTCACACGCCGTGACCCCAAGGGGTCGGCGGATTTCCAGGCTCTCCAGGAGTCCAGCATCTCCAGGGTTCCCCGGATTTCCAGGCAGTCCTGCACGTGCCAGGTGTCCAGGAATTCCAGGGTTATGATACTCCAACCTATTTTAGCTTTGACCGCCAGGAGGAATTTCGAGCGCCCCAAAAAGTACCGAATATCAAGGGTTTTCACGTGTCGGGCCCTGGGGGACACTCGCCCGACACTGTTTCGACACTCTTTCGACACTCTTTTGGCACTGTTCCGGGTGCTCGAACTTATTTTTGGGATATGGTCCTTAAGTACGACGGGAGCGACATAATTCCAGGGGCAAGCGGTCGCGATACTGGCACGCTCCTAGGCTTCCAGGATTTCCAAAGCGCCCTGACGTTCCACGGAGGCGGCGGGAGCAAAAGGGGGCCGCCAGAGGCTCCGGAAATCCTGAGTTGTCTCGCTCAGAGGAGAAGGAGGAGGAGGAGGAGGAGGAGGAGGAGGAGGAGGAGGAGGAGGAGGAGGAGGAGGAGGAGGAGGAGGAGGAGGAGGAGGAGGAGGAGGAGGAGGAGGATGGAGGAGGAGGAGGAGGATGGAGGAGGAGGAGGAGGAGGACGAGGAGGAGGAGGAGGAGGAGGAGGAGGAGGGGAGGAGGAGGAGGAGGAGGAGGAGGAAAAGGAGGAGGAGGAGGGGGGAGGAGGAGCGCCAATCTTCTCATGACGTCATTCTTGTCCTACGATGGAGGGGGGGGGCGCGCCTGCACAGCACTGCCATGCTCGCGTTAAGTCGGGCCTGTCCCTCTACAGGAGGAGTGTTCAAAAGTTGTTACCATGTAGTCTGGGGACGACTTTTCTAGTATGTTTTTGTTTCTGGCTATGTTTGTTTTTTTCTGCTATTTTTATTTTTTTCGTCCAACATCCGCCTGTAGGGGGACATGCCCGACCTGATGCTCGCGCTGTGCAGCAAAATCACGGCGGGAGGCCCTCGGCAGTTGTCGGCCTCCTGTGGGCCTTGGCCGGGCCCCGGGACCGGCAAAGCACGACTCGGGGTGAAAAGCTGGCCCCGGGGACGGGGTCGGGACCTCCAGGTGGTGGTTTGCTTCGGGGGACCTTGCTGTCTCGTACGTGGCATTTTTTTCTGGTACTCCGAAGTCTTGTTGACTGTGCGTTTGCGGAAGGAAACAGTGCTCCGCGCTCGCACGCGGCACCGGTGGTGTTAACAAATCGCACCCTCTCTCTCCCGCTGCGCCTCGCTGCCCACTCTCCCTCCTCTTCCTCGTGGCTGGTGCCTCGCTCTGGTGGAGTTCCCTTCCCCTGAGTGGGAACGCTGGCAATTTTCATCATCGCGCATTGACTGTATGGGAAACATTTTTTTGGGTACTCCGAAGTGGATTCGGCGCGGGTTCGACGTGAATTCGCCGTGGATTGGACACGGATTCGATGCGTTCGACACTTCTTCGATATGGATGCGACACGGATGGCCGGCGCGATGGGACAGACGAGGTCCCCGAAAGATGCAGCATGAGGCTTTCGGAGGAGAAAATTGCAAAAACCTACTGTCGGCAAAACTGAACTTATGGGCGCCGGGCGGGGGGCGCCTCCTCAGGGGCAACGAGAGGTTCGAGATTCGAGGTTTGAGGTTTTCGGGCGCTCTCGTCGGTTCTCGGCGATTCTCCCGTCTCGGGATGCCTTCCAGCGGCTGCACTTCGCCGAGAGCGTTCTGGAGGTGCCCAGATCGTCCAGATCGGTCGCTGGAGAACCGAGTTATGACCTGGAAGCCAGGGCAACGCTGGGGGGGGTGATGGTCAGGAACGCTTGCCCAGCTTGTCGCGCCGCTGGTTCCGGCCCCTCACGCTGGCTTCGGCGCGACACGCCCAGGCAAGCGTCAACGTCCCGAGCCTCTTCCCAGCCTCCCGTCCCGCGGAGCGGAGCGACACGCTCTCCGCTTGCAGGGCACAGCGCGACACGCTGGGGCCGCCGCGGCGACACTCTGAGCAACAATGCCCGACCGTACACCGTCGGAGCTCCGCGCGGGCTTCCTGGGCCGGCGCTGGACGCCGCGTGGCGGCGCGCTTCCGAAGCTGCCTGTGGCGCCTACCAGATGCCAGAGACTTCCGGGGACCTCCGCAGCCCTCGGGAGACCTCTGCTGGGGACTTCCGGGGACCTCTGGAGACCTCCTCCTCCTCCTCCTCCGCCTCTTCCTCCTGACCTGCTGCTGGTCTGCACGCTGCTGTCGGCGCGCCCCAATCTCTCGACGGTCAAGGGCTTCCTCCTCCTCCTCCTCTCCTCCTCCTCCTCCTCCTCCTCCTCCTCCTCCTCCTCCTCCTCCTCTGGGGGAGGGCCTTCAGGGACCGGCCCTCCTCATCGCAGACTCATGTCGGGGTGCACGCGTGCAACCGGTTGTCGGCGGTGACGGGGGATCCTCTGGCTGGCCCTGGCCAGTCGGATCGGACGGAGGGGGGGGGGATAGGGCAAGGGGGTGTTGTGAAATCTGGTGCATGCAGGTTTCGGCCCCGGGGCTGCCGGCGCCAGGAGGCGCTGGGGACACCAGGTGCGGCAGCTGGCTCGCTGACCCTTCCCCCCGCTGCTTCTTGGCCGGCCTGGGTTCGCGGGGTGGCCTTGGGTGACCCCTGGGTCAGCGTTGGCCCGGGTTGAGCGCGTCCCCGAGCCGTGCTCCACCGGCGGATCCACCGTCCTTCAGTGCGACAACGTGAAAAGCACGACCGGGGCCCTGGGCCGAGTCTTTCGGAGCCATTTCTCGAGCCGGATCGATCCGTGGGGGCTCGAAGCAGGGCGGCATCGCCCTGTGAGAAGCAGTGCGATGCCAGGAGCTCAGGGGCATGGCTCCTCGCGGATCCGTCGGCAGCCGCTCGTGAGCTGCAGCTGCCACCCGTGCCTGTGCGATCCGATTGCTCGGGGTGGAATTCCGGGGGGCTATGCTGTATGTGTGTGTGTGTGTGTGTGTTTATTACTCGAGGACGTCGGTTGAAGAGTTCACTTACTCCCAACATGCTTTCGTAGAGTGTACGAGAAATGCGAAGAATGTGTCTTGGTCCAAGTGATCATATTCCGCTTTTCGCAAGCTCCTTATCAGCACAAGTTGCCTAGCCTTAGGTTTCTCCCATGGCTTTTTCGTGTAACAGGCGAGGGCGCTTTATCTTGTCAGAAGATTTTGACAGACGACTTTGCTTCCTTATCGATGCCATCGCTGACAGCCACTGGTGTCCTGGAACGCTCAGAAGAGACCTCCGTCTCGCATGAAGCACGTCTTTCGATGCATGCGGGTGCGGTACGGTGAGCATGTGACTGCATGTCTTCAGGAAGTTCCCAAGTGGCCGTTGAGCGTTGGCCGTCATTTTGCATGCCGCACGCAGTTAGGCAAGAGATGTGCGATCGTAATGCCCGTGGCCCTTGCTTCTAACATCACGTGGGAGAAGCACGACGACCGCTACAGTTTCGTTACCGTGGCAGACTACATGTACCTCTTTGCATCTTACCGACTACCAGCGCCGTTCTACAGGGGACCAGGGAACTCTTGATTTGTTGCATATGCTGATCCCGTTGTTGCTGGATCAGGGAGGAGTCTAAAGCAGTTCTTACTCATGGACGCCAATGTCTCCGTCAATCACGAGATCACCGATCTGATCGGACCGAGCCGGCTCTCGCATGCAGCTCACTCAGATCGGGCAAGTATGGATCTCATTGTTTTTTTGGTAACTTTTGGTATGGTTTTGGAGAACATCTTTTCTGAGGTAGGCGACCCCTCCCTCATCACTACCAGGCCAGGTCGGACTCGGGCTGCAAGGTGCAAACAGCATGTTGATTGCATTGCGTCCAACTTGCACGGCAGAATGCCTGCTTACGCTGAGCAGGCTGTCGACTCCGACCTTCGATTGGCGCTCCGCCTCTCTGATCATTGCCCGATTGTGGCCAGACGGGTCCAGGACTTCACGGAGTGCGTCGCCCTCCCCAGGCCAGAGATTTCGGCAAGAATCAAGGCGCAACGGCGCTGGGGCACCACGGACACGAGCATCAAGACCATTTTATTGGCGATCTCCGGCCAATTATGCGGCGAGTTGTGACTTGGCGATCTCTGGCTAATTGCGCTGCGAGTTGTGACTCCCTGGACGGGTGTGTGCGGGCTGTGCAGTGCGCCTTCGACGATGTTGCAGATCACCGCGAGTCCGCGAGTCCTCCTCACTACGCTCCGCCTGCCCCGCAGACTGGATCAGGAGAAATTTGTGAAAGCTGTTCGGGAGAGGAAGGGCCGACCGCTTCGGTATCCTCATCTTCCCTTTGCGCTTGCAGAGCACGGTGACACATCCCCAGGCCGACAGTTTTTTTCCTCTTGGACTAAACATATTTCGGCCTGCGTGAGTAGTACGGGTACCCACAACAAGAACACTCAGCTGAAGATGCTCGATCAACATATTTGGGGAGCTTTCCCGCCAGTCGATTTCAACATCGTAGGCGTGGTGTCTGCTGATCGGAACGCATGGGTGGCGGAGGCCAAGTTTTTGCCCAGCGCGGACGACCATAGCCAGCTTCAGGAAAGGGTGGAACATATACGAGGCGTGGCGTCCAGCGAAAGACATCGAATTTGCAGGCCTCCTGACCTAGAGGATTTCGTCACTAAATTAACATCATTATCGACCAACTCCAGCCCAGGCCAAGACGACAGACTTCCCAAAGCCAGGAAACTTGCGCCTGTGTGGCTAAAGCTAAAGATATTCCAGATCTTTCGTCGACGCTGGTTTGACTTCGCTTGGCATGGACAGGCTCTGGTTACTTGGATGAACATGTGGGCAAGGGATCATGGAGACTCGGTCTGCGGCCACATTGGACGACTACAGATGGAAACGGGTCATGGGCCACCTTTCCAATGTCTACGGCGAGTGGTCCTTGGCATCGGTCCCAGTGACCATGCCGAGTCGTTCGCTTTCGGCTATCAGCGGAACCACTTAGTAAAGCATGTGTTCTTGTCTGAGCTCGTATGTTACGCCTTGCGCTGGAACGTCGCCGATCTAGTGGTGTATTGTATGGACGTGTTAACGGCTTGCGATTATGTCTGTTTCTAGGATTTGGTGGACGTTTTCCTTGCCCAGGGGGCCACATGTTACCACGTCTTGAACATGATTCGGAACATGCTTGGTTTTCAGGTCGCTTTGGATATCCCTGGAGTCGCTCAGCACGGCCCGACCAATCAAACTCGGGCTTTTCGGACGGGCGGCAAGACTAACCTGGAGAAGTTTGTCATGCTGATGGACGAAGCTATGTCGACGTGCGCTGTGGAGTGTGACGCCATGGCCTGTGGGTTTAGACTGCGGCCAGCGGTTCACCGAGGCGAGTTGGGTGGATCATGTTTTCTTGTTGGCTCGCTCCTGGGCCGAGGCGGACTGCATGACATCAGTGCTTGCGGGCGTGTTGGCCAAGCACTTTGGGTGGAAGTGGAAACCCACATCTTTAGAAATACTTGCGGTCGGGCTCACCCCGCTCCGGGTTTTCTGGGTCCTTCGATCTTCCGCGGTTGCCTTGGCTTTCGCACTGAAAGGCCAGATCGAAGTTTTCGGAGGCGGTCTAGCAAATTACCGGCCCTTGCAGGCTCTTCTGGAACTCCGGTTGGCCAAGGTTGATCAAAGGGTTTACGGGCATTTGAAGCATTTCCAAGGCAAAGCGCCAGCGTCTATAAAATTGCAGGCTTTTTCGTCGGTGCCTCGCTCATTTGCATCCTTCTTCCTCGCTATCATGCCTTGGCAGGCTCGCATTTTGAAGGGGATCTGCACATGGGAGAGGAAGACACTCCAGACGCCTTTCCGCATGCGGCCGATCCAGAGCCAAACCAGACAAGAGTTTTTGAGGGCGACAGCCCTCGAGATATGTGAATCTTTGAAGCACGCAGGTGTTCAGCCGTTCCACGTGTTCATGCTCGCGCAGGCGTGTTCTTCTGGGTGACGGGAAAACCACTCTGCCAAGTTAGCGGCCCTGGTGCGTTGTGACCGGCATCCAGGCCCAGCCGACTGGGCTCTGCAATCGACTATGCTTACGGCGGTGCGTGCGTTTATCAGAGGATGGGCGTTTCGCAGGCCCAGCAGGCCATCTGAAACGTATGGCGATAATTTCTTTGGGCAGTGTGGGGCGACGCTTGGAGGCGCCGCCCAGATACGTGCGGATCTCGCCGGGATCGGCTGCGAGGGAAGCGTGGTTTTGTCGAACATGCATGCGTCGCCGTCGGACTCCCGGGACGTGGAGGCCAGCAACGTTCGTGGTGCCGCGACTGTCTGTCTGGCTCCCGAACTGGAGCCACAGCGAGACGAACTCGCATTGCGAGATCTTCCAGTGCCTCTTGTCTTGCAGTTGGACAGGCTCTGGAGCCTCAGCCCTGGCCCGGTTGAGCTTGAGTTCGTGATGGATTTCCAGGTGATGGTCGAATTTTTCGACGTGGTTGTGCCATGCTGCAACCCAGGCGAAGAGCCAAGTGTCTCCAGAGTGCAATTTATTTTGCAGTCGATCTCTTATTCGAGTTGCCTAGACGCTCCTCCCGTCTCGGGAGCTCCCGCGGCCCCACAGGCGCCCTCCTTCACGGCGCTAGCACCGGCCCGGCTTCGCCTCCCCGGCGGTGGTACCGTCTCGTCTTCTCTTTCAGCTTCTTCGCGGCTGTAACCCGCGCGCTCTGGTCGAGCGTGTGCCTGCCGTCCTCTTCTCCGCCTCACTGTCGCCTGGTGGGGCCGCCCTCCCCCCACGGTCCGTCGGTCTGTCGCCGTCCTTCGTCTCGTCCTTTCACCGGCCACCCACGTCTGGGTGGCCTTTGGCACGGAGTTTCCCGCTGATGAGGGCCAGGCGCGCGCGGGGTCTGCGCGCGGTGGGTCAACTTTCTGCGCCCCGTCGCTGCGCGCGAGGCTGCGGCCGCCCAAAGAAGTGTAAGTGTCAGTGTGTCTGTGTGTGTGTGTGTGTGTGTGTGTGTCCGCCAGCGCAGCCCCGCCTTTTGGGCGCGGCCTCTCGCCGCCCACCGCCCGCCTTACTTTGGCCTGCTCCTTGACTGCTGCCGCCTCCGCCCCTCCCCGTTCGCTGCCCTGCCACCCTGGCCCCGCTGTCTCGCCCGCCGCCCTGGCCGCCGCTGGCCCGGCTGCTGCCCTGCCACCGCCCCGTGAGGGGCCGGTTGCTTGCCCACGCGTGCCCTGCGTGCGAGGGTTGACGGCATTGCGAGTCGCCTGCCCGCTGAGGCTCAAAAGTGTGTGTGTGTGTGTGTGCATGTGTGTGTGTGTGTGCATGTGTGTGTGTGTGTTGTCGGATGGAGATCCCCGTTCGAACGGGCCCCCCTCGGGGTCCGACAGCCCGCACCCATACCTATACCGCCTTCATCTCCATGCCCCTCCCAATTCCTTATCCCCATAGGTTCGAGCGTGTGCTGACTTGTCATCATCGGTAGCCATCTTGGCACAAGCTTCCCCGGTATCTCTACAACCATGTGTGTTTGGCACATGGCAAGGCGTGCTGCTTGTCTGCTCGTGGCGCTGCCGACGGCGAGTGCCCTTGTCGTCGCCAGAGAGCCGTACGACAAGGCGGGCCGCCAGCCGCGGGCCAAGGACTGCAGGCTCCTCGTCCTCCTCCGGCCCCCCTCTCCTCCTCTCTCTTCTTCTCCTCCCTTGGAGCCGGCCGGGGTCTGGGGAGGCCCAAGCACTGGTTCCGGCCAGCCAAGAAAGGGGGGGGGTGGAGGTTCGAGGTTCGAGGTTCTGGGTTCGTGAAGTCGCTTTCTTTTTGTTGGGGGGGTACGGGGGACGTTTTCGGCCCCCGGGACTGACAAAACCGAATCGGGGGGGACACATTGCACTGGACAGCCCTTGTCCCGCTGTCTGGACCGATCTTCGGGGCCCATACAGCTTAGACCTCCTGGACGCCTCCAACTCCTCCTTCTTCTTCTCCTCCATCTCATCTCCTCTCTTCCATGCTCCCTCTTCTTGTCCTTCCCTCTCTTTCCCTGCTTCCTCGTCTTTTCCTCCTCTCCTCTCTCTCTTCCGTCTCCTCCATGGCTTGTGCTTCCCTTGGTGGAGGCTTGACATATTCTGGCCAGCTACACCAGACCCCCCCCAGAGGAACGCAAAGTATCTCAATTGCAATAGAACAAATACCACGCTGGAGTCCGAGTACGAGAAGTACGAAGTACAGAAGTTCAAACATCCGAAGTGTGAGGAAAGTGTATGAGAGATGCGTTTGTCATACTTTTTCGCAGCCAGTACTCTTTTTTCGTAGTCTGTTTCGGTACCTTTCTGTATGCTTCCATATGTGTTTGTACTTTTGATGTGTGGTCGCACTTGTTCGTACTTGTTCAAACCCGTACTTCCGCGTTGCACATATTTGGCACTTGCGTTCCGCGGACCTCGCCTGGCTTGTTCTTTCGAGCCGTATTTATGTTACACCTCGTGTTATCGTGCCATGCGCATGCTTTGGCTTTCGTTCCTTATTCTGCCAGAATCGGGGGTCGCCCGGTCTAGCCGGCCTCGAATCGCATACAGTGGAGGCATTATTCCCTCGGAGGGTGAGCTGGCAGTGTTCATCGGCACCACAGTGTGGTCAATCACCACTCACCAAACCACCCCAACCCAACCCGATGGCTTCGATTTGCCCTCCATGTCCGGTTGGGGGGGGTCGGGGAACACTGAAAAAGCACATGGAACCCGTACCCCCCCCATCCCGAAATTCGGGTCAAATTCGGGTCTTCGGGTTGGGTTGGGGTGGTCTGGTGGGTAGTCAGTCAAAGTCAACGGAAGCCAAAATAAAGACGAGGACTGCACGCCCGCGGACGAGGACATGCACATCGTGTTCTCGACGGGCTGCAACGCCTTCCAGCACTGGCAGGCGGAGGCGCCCGGGGGCGCCGAGTCGCAGGAGGGCCGAGTCGAGGCGGCGGTCGCTGGCCGTCGGGGCGCGCCCTCGTCGCCGTGGCCGGGCACCGGGCCTCGGAGAGCCGGTTCGTCTGGGCCCCGCGAGGGCTCCAGGTCGGAAAGTGGGGCATGTACACTACCAGTGGCGGGTGGTGTTTCAGTCCCAGGACTTTTTGGGAGGGTCGGGGACGACGTCGGGGTGGTGCGGTGTGTATTTTTTCCTCGTGTTCTCGGGGGAACCACGAAGAATGGGTACAATGCCCAACAGCAGTTCCTGTTCATTCTGAACAGGGCTCGCTGTCCGCGCCGCCGCGGCCTGTGTCCACTCGAGACAGAAGGCCGCCTGCCAAACAGCGGCTGCTGTTGGTTTGGGACAACATTTGTTGTTGGCCATTGTACCCATTCTTTCGGTACCCATTTCGGGCGTCCAAACGCGAGGGCTCCAGGTCGGAAACTGGAGCATATACACTACCAGTGGCGGGTGGTGTTTCAGTCCCAGGACTTTTTGGGAGGGTCGGGGACGACGTCGGGGTGGTGTGCTGTGTACTTACTTTTTCCTCGTGCTCTCGGGGGAACCACGAAGAATGTATACACCAGGATCCCGTATACACCAGGATCCGCTTTCCTGTGCGAGATTCAGTGTGAGACCACACAAAGGCGTCGGTGTATAGAGCTCGGTTCCTTGCCAGGGGCCGATGTTGCGCTGCCGTGGTCTCGGCTTGCCCAGGCCTCTCCTCGTTCCGCCTGGCGCTCGTGCTGCTGGAAGTCAGGAGGAGGGAGGGAGGGGGGGAGAGGGACGGATGGAGGGGTGGGGGATCAGGACGAGATGCGGAGGAGGAGATGCGGAGGGGAAGGAGGAGGAGGCGGAGGAGGAGGACGATGCGGAGGAGGATGAGGAGGAGGAGGAGGCGGAGGAGGCGGAGGAGGAGGAGGCGGAGGAAGAGGAGGGAAACCTGCGTAAACCCAAGAGATCGGCAACGATTCTGGAACATACCCTTCCTCCAAGCTCTTTCTTCATAGGCCCCTATAAGGGTTCATTTCCACTGAAGGAAGTGCCCCGTTGGGAGACAACAGTTTTAAAATCCTGAAGCGTGCCAAGACACGATTCTCGGGACATCAACGCCACGAATCAACCTGCCCGTTGCGTCTTGACGATTTTGAATCGCTCCAGAACGCCATTCCTGAGATCCAACAGCGCGAGTCAACGTAACTGGTGCGCCTTGTCAATCCTGAATCAGTCCAACACATAATTTCTGATACGTTAACCATGGGAACCCGGGAAATCCTTGGCCAATCTATACGACGAGAGTGCGTGGCGCTAAAACGAAAACCACATGTTGAAAAATGACGCCGTCAATCCTTGAAGCCCTCGCGGATTTTTCAGACGAGTGTGCGCGGCGCTAAGGCGAGAGCCACATTTGGAAAACGACCCGACCTCAACCCGTGAAGCTCTTGCACATTTTGACGACGAGTGTGCGCGACGTTAAGGCGAGAGCCACATTTTGGAAGCGACCCGCCTTCCGTCTGTGTTTTGTTTCCAATTAACAGAATTTCAGGATCATTTATGGTAAGGAAATCTCAGGCGAAACGTCCGGGCCGCCCTTCCGACTGGCTTCGGGCTGCGACAGGGAGGAGTTGTTCATAAGGAAAATGCATGAAGGAGGAGGAGGAAGATGTGGAGGAGGAGAAGGAGGAGGACTAGCTAGCCTGATGTTCGCTTGGTCGTAGCCATTGCCGATGATAGCGGTGGTGGCAGTGGTGGTCTATCTGTGTCTCCCGGAGGTGCTCCTCAACTCGGCGTACCACCAGGGTCAGTGTGGAAGCATGACACGGATTGTCGTGGGATGCGACCATCACGTCGCCGAGACGATCCGCACGCACCAG